TGGTTAAGACTCAGTTGGCCTGATCTTGAACCTGGCTGTGTTTTTAGGCAACCATGTGACCTTGGAGAGTGACTTAGTTGGTCACAGCCTCAGTCTGTCAATAGAGATGATAGTATTACCTACTTCATAGAGGTGTTGTGAAGATCAAAAAAGATGTAACTAAAAGATAAAGCTCAAACAAGATGTAAGCCCTCCCTCTATAAAGGGCTCACCTGGTCCCTGTGTACTCATGTAGGTCCTTAAGAGTATTGTCTTTTATTATCATTAACTGTCAAGGCTTTGCTGTTATTACACTCAAGGTGGGTTAATGTTTGTAAGCACTCATGAAAATTTATCTCCTCAAGCTTGCTCATTTAAGATTTACATTGGAAACTTTCCCGTGGAAATTTGCATTCATAGCCCTTTGTTAGAATTTGAGTTTCCCTGTCTAGAAAACAGCAAAGTATATGAGTACTTTTTTATACTGTTCTCATTGATTCAGTGACATGGAGTTCTTTAAATAGTTTCTACTAACCCAAATGTGGCTCTCACTTCTCAAGATATCCTGTGTCTTTCTTTAGATCTGAGAAAATCTTACAGTTTATCACCCCCCGCAAAAAAACTTTTTTAAGTATTAAATTAATTAGCAACTTCTCATTATTTAGGTGTAAGTTTTTCTTGGCAAACTAAAGATCGGCCTCACTTCATCCTATCACTTAGCAGGTATCTAAGCAACTTGCTTCTAGAGTTTACTTGAAAAATGTAAACTTTTAACTTTAGCTAAAGCAAGGTAGAATTAAGAATGTAAACCTGCTGCTAAAACAAGTATATAACATACTTCACATGTTAGTGGAGATAACTGATTAATTAGTCCCTTAATCAGTGTTTATAAGCATCCTCCGGGTCTCAGACCTTGCATTAAGTGATTCAGGCATGCTTCCATAAATCAGACTTGGCTTTGGCTTTCTCACACGGTCATGCATCACTTAACCACAGGGATACATTCTGAGAAATGCATCTTAAGCAATTTTGTCATGGTATGAACGAGGTAGCGTGTACTTACACAAACCTAGCACCACGTAGGCTATTTGGTATAGCCCACTGCTCCTAGGGTGCAAACCTGTCCTGAATACTGTACGCAGTTATAACACAATGGCATTTGTGTATCTAAACATATCAAAATGTAGAAAAGCTATAGTAAAAATGTTGTAGGAAAGATGAAAATGACGCATGAATAGGGCACTTACCAGCAATGGAGCTTGTGGGACTGGACGTTGCCCTGGATGAGTCAGTGAGGGGTGACTGAATGTGAAGGCCTAGGACATAACCATACACTACTGTAGATTTTATAGACACTGTGCCCTTAAACTACACTAAATTCATAAAAAATATTTTTAGGCCCAGCACAGTGGCTCACACCTATACTCCCAGCACTCTGGGAGGCTGAGGCGGTGGATTGCTTGAGCGCAGGACCAGCTTGAGCTCAAGACCAGCCTGAGCAAGAGCAAGATCCTGTCTCTACTAAAAAATAGAAAAACTAGCCAGGTGTTGTGGTAGGCACCTGTAGTCCCAGCTACTCAGAAGGCTGAGGCAGGAGGATCACTTAAACCCAAGAGTTTGAGGTTACTGTGAGCTAGGCTGATGCCATGACACTGTACCCAGGAGAGAGAGTAGGACTTTGTCTCAAAAAAATAAATATATATAGGGAGGCGCCTGTGGTTCAAAGGAGCAGGGCGCCAGCCCCATATACCAGAGGTGGAGGGTTCAAACCCGGCCCCGGCCCAAAAATAAAAATTAATATACATATATATGTTATTTTTCAATAATCAATTAAGCTTAGCTTACTATGCTTTTTTACTTCATAAACTTTTTAAATAATATTTTTTAACTTTTTGATTCTTTTTAATAACAGCATAACAAACATTGCACAGCTGTACAAAAATATTTTCTCTTTATGTCCTTACTCTATAAGCTTTTTTCTATTTTTAAGATTTTTGTTAGCTTTTTAAACTTTTGTTAAGAAAAGTTTACACACATTCACCTCGGCCCACATAGGGTCAGGATCAGCGGTATCCCTGTCTTCCGCCTCCCCTGGCAGGTTGGCAGTAACATGCATGGAACTGCCATCTCGTGCAACTTCTAGAATACCTCCTGAAGGACTTGCGTGAGGCTGTTTCATGGTTAACTTTTTTTAATAATTAGAATAAGTATACTCTAAAATAATGATAAAAAGTATAGTATAGTAGCTACGTAAGTTACTAACATGGCTGCCTATCATCATTATCTAGTATCAGATGCTGTACACGATTGTACTATACTTTTATATGACTGGCAGTGCTGTAGGTTTGCTTACACCATCATCACCACAAACATGGGAGTAATCAGTTGTGCTATGATGTTACCAGAGCTATGGCATACATGCAGTCTGTTGTGGACCTGAGCATGGTTTGTGGTGCATGACTGTTTGTCAAGGGTGATAAGAAAAGCAAATAAATAATACGCCACAGGATAGACAACGGCAGGAATGTGAGAAAGGGAAACTAAGTATGATGGAAGTTCAGAAGAGGGAGACACTGTCTCTGTGAAGTGGAGAAGTTGGCTCGGAGGGAGTGGCACTGACGGCAAGGTAGATTTGGGACACGTGGACGTTGAGGAATTCCAAATGAGGAGGGAACACAGAAGAAATGATTCAGTTGGAGCCAAAGTATATGAAATGGAGTAGAGGAGAGCAGCGTGGAACCACACGTGGGGCACAGGGTAGAAGGCCCTTGAATGCCAAGGTAAGGAATTTGCAATCCTCCGAAGGCACTGGGAGCCGCCGAGAGTTTGTGAGCATCTGGGTGTAATGTATAGTATAGTAGATACGTAAGTTATCTTTGAGCAGGGCAGTGTGCGCAGTGGAGCTGGGGGGAGGTCAGTGAGGCAGTGAACAGAGACGGGCTTCAGCAGGGAGAAAGCGGCAGCAGCACGGACACCAGCTCTGCCCAACTAAAGCAGTCACCCCAGGAGAGAGCTAATGCGGGCCGATGGGTGGGGTAAGAGGGGTGGAGGGTAGGGGATGGAGTAGGTGGGATTCTACAGCACAATTATCAGAAAGGAGGAACATGAGAGGAGGAGAAATTTAAAAGTAGAGCACAGGTTTCAAACCAGATTAACTGGAAGTCCAAAGAAGGAACAAAGAAGGAGCAGTGAATTTATTTGGAAAGATAAGAGCTTGGTATGAAGATATGGAATTGACAGGGCTAAAATTCCTGAAGTCGGTTCTTACAGTGGAAGAACACTTAAAATGGGTGGATTGTATGATATGGGTACGTTGTTTCAGTGACGCTGTTTTGCACAATTAGTTGCTATTGCTCTTGCAGTGCTGGTTTTCCTAGAACAGAAAATATTTCTCAATCAACATGTCTTTATCAAAAAGGAGAAAATAAAAGGTAGACACAGAGCATTGTGAATTTCAAGAAAAATGGAAGCGACTTCACCTCTTCGTGGTAGTAAAGAATTGTGGCATATTAATATACAAACACCTGGCCTCTTCATTAATGTACAGTACTTTCCTAGCCATTAAAAGCACTTGATATTAGGAAAAAATGTGGTCTTGCCCAACTCCCTGAGGTTCACCCACAACTAAAAAGAAAGAGAGAACAAAGGTGGAGTAGGGGAAGGAGTAATGAACATGGTAAAAGGAGAAGGGAAGAAGCCAGTAGATTGGATGCCAAGGAAGGGGGAGGCTTTATCAGCAGCTGACAAAAGGACAATGAGGTCAGAGGAGTCAGAAGGTCACGGGAGACCATCCAGCAAGTGAGCTGGGAGAGCTGAGGCTGGCGGGAGGTGCAGAGGCAGCTGACAGCGTGCCCAGAACGCATTCTTCAGGAGTTAGTGTCTATCTCAGGCATAGAAGACTACGGAAGGATTTTACGTAGGAGAATGATGGGATCAGATCAGAACAATGTAGATTATTTATTTTCACATAAATTTTTGCATGTTTTTAATTGCATCCATGATGAACCAAGGTCACCCCAAATTTAATCTTTCTGATGCTAAGTCCTGCAGTCCAAAATTCCCAGGCTTATTGAGATCTCAGTTATTTATTTTTCAATGTGTATATAGGGGCTGAGAAGGCTAAGGCATTATATATATATATATATACACACACATACATATACATATACATATATATAGTATTCCATAGTATGAAGCTAATATATATAATATTCCATAGTATGAGCATTAAGAAATAGGTTTAATAGAGTTATTAGACATTTTTAGCTTGATAAGAGTCTTAACTCAGTTTTCCTTATCAATAGAGAAATGGCAGCATATATAAAACTGAGTTAAGACTTATCAAGCTAAAGATGTCTAACAACTCTATTAAACCGATTTCTTAATGCTCGTACTATGGAATAGCATTATGCCTTTCTGCCACAGACGTTGAGTGGCTTGACTGATTAACAACAGTGGCTCCAAGCTGCCCTGCATTGCAGCCTCTTGACATATAACTCTTGTTGTTTAGCCCAGTAGTGGTCACTTTCACCAAGACTAAAGGAAACCCATGCTGGTTTTTAGTGTTTATTTATTTATTTTTGAGACAAAGTCTCACTATGTCACCCTCGGTAGAGTGCCATGATGTCACAGCTCACAGCAACCTCTAACTCTTGGGCTTAAGTGATTCTCTTGCCTCAGCCTCCCAAGTAGCTGGGACTATAGGCGCCCACCACAGTGCCTGGCTGTTTTTTTGTTGCAGTTGTCATTGTTGTTTAGCAGGCTCAGCTGTGTTCAAAGCCACCTGCCTTGGTGTATGTGGCCGGTGCCCTACCCACTGAGTTGCCAGTGCCGAGCCATGGTGTTTAGTTTTTAGTCTCATATATTTAACCCCTCTCCTCCTCCTCTAATTTGTCAATTTCTGTGGTAATGAACTGAGCCTCTGCGTACTCTCTGAGCAATGAGTAATGATGGGACTTGATGTGAAATGCCATTATAAGAAAGGGCGTCTGTAAACACAATTTTGTTCTGTTTCATTTCAGACACTTGTGGATCCAGCTGTGTGACAGCTGCACTAGGAAACACCTGGAGTCACAGTGTGAACACCCGGCTGATTCTCCAGTACCTTGATTCAGAGAGAAAACAGGTGAGTGCTTTGACTGTGTTCTCTGACTTGGAAGGCCAGCAATCTGAGCGTCTTCTGAAAGCGGTGGCCAGGCCAGGACGCATGCCTGTGATCCCAGCACTCTGGGAGGCCCAGGTGGGTGGATTACGTGAGCTCAGGAGTCTGAGACCAGTCTGAACAAGAGCAAGACACTGTCTCTACTAAAAAAAAAAAAGGAAAAACTAGCCAGGAATCATGGCAGGCACCTGTAGTCTCAGCCACTGGGAGGATGAGACAGGAGGATCTCTTGAGCCCAGGAGTATGAGGTTGCTGTGAGCTATGATGATGCCATGGCACTACTGAGGGTGACAGAGTGAGACTCTGTCTGAAAATAAACAAACAAACAGATAAATTAAATAAAGGTGTTGGCCACATTCTCTGTCCTTGGCCAGCATTGGCAAGGCAGGCGTAAAGAAACCATCCTCCCTGCTTGCCCCAACACCAATGGGGGACATTGCACACACAGGAAAACAATATCAAATAGATGTCACAGAGTTAGCCTTCCCCTTCATAAATGGCCAAAGACCACCCCCAGGGGATCTCAAATTCTCCATCTCTAAGTGAGGAGTTCACTTAGATATGTGTTGAGGACTAACTTGTAATAAATTAAATGGCAATGGTGCTTTTTCTTGGGGTATGTATGCTTTGAAAACCTTTGGCCAGACAGAAGCTTGTAGTGTAAAGTGCTGAATGATGCCAGAAAGACCTCCAAAAGGATGCTGACTTTCTCGGAGCTCACTATTTAGTTTCTGTCCTGATCTCAAGTGAGAATCTTCCTGCTTCCACCCAGGAAGATGACTTTATACTCCTTTTTTAAATCTTCTCTCCACACTATAAAGAAAGAGACATTACTCTCTGACCCCTTTGGTAAAATATTTCATCATCGGAAGATTTCTTTTTTCTAATGTTTAACATCAACCTTTTCCTGCTGGGGTGGACAGACTTGAAAGCAGTAGCAAGAAGAAGATAGAGTGACTATCCTGATTTTTTGGATAGGACAGACTTCACAACCTGTATTTTCCCATCTTGCTAAATATGTATCAAATTCAGGCTATTGAAAAGGCATGAAATCCTGCACTGGTGGTTCTTCCCAGAGGAGATGGTGGGAAGGGTGCTGGTGCCTTTACATGCATTGGGTAAATTGGTTCTTTATCAAGGAGGCAGGACTCTTCCCAAGCAGGTGTGAGCTACTGCCTGTCCCAGGCCTAACTTCCTGCATGTCCGTGCTTACAGACCAGAGGACTCTTCCTGGTTTGCCATGTCCTAAGAAGGCGAGGCAGCTTGTTTCCATGCAGGGAAGCATTCTTGACTTTTCAGGCCGTGGTGTACTCACTACCTATTCCCTGATGACTCAGGTATTCTGGGCTCTAAATCTATTACTTCTCTTTTTTGGTGGACTACATTCAAAAATATTCCTGGAGAACGTAATGGCCTTTAGTTTGTACTCTAGGTAGCAAATGATGTTAAATAAACATTGTTTCAGCTTTCACATCATTCAGGATTGTCTAGCACTCCTATCTAAACTCTGTCAGAGGAAGCAAAATTCCTTGTGAATCAGGGTTGAGTCATCCATTTCCATGGATCCCTGAAAACCAGTAGTTTATCTCTGTTTTAGATTTTAGATAGCATTCTTACCATAACACACTGGGTTTGTGATTTGGTCTATTATACATGGTGTCATGAATTCAAGGCTCCCAGAGTCTAGTTTTACAAATTCTACTTGGAATTTATAAGTAAATAAAGAATTGAGGGCTACAGTTTTATTTTCTTTTTGTTTTAATAAATTAATCAGTAAGCATCCACAGGAAGTATCTGTTGGGAAAAATGCTATTATTTTATGTCTCTCTGGTGACTGAAAGATGTTGATGTCTCTTGGCTTTTGGCTGATAAAGTCAAAGGCAAGCCGAGGTCACAAGAAGAACCAGGAGCAAAGTGTGGATAGATCAGTGACAGTGTATCAACTCATATCCTATTAAACAGGTCAGCAGTGTTATCTTAATTTACAAAGAACAATGTGTTATTATCATTCCTAATCAGTCAGGAGCAGATTTAAAGGCCTTTGAATCATGTTTTCAGACAATAATTAGAATATAACGTAAACTGTGACCAGTGTTAAAATGGCCAACCTAGGCAAAGAACGTACATTTAATTAATCTGTAGAAATAGGCATGCCTTTTGGTACCAGTTGTTAAACTTGTGGCCTCATAACTAGGATAAAGTTTGATACAGAAAACATGTCTCTCTCTGATGACCTTATCTTGCTGTAGCAGAGGATGTGCTTAGTGATTCACTGAGTCTTTCCTGTGATCTTATTTCATGACAAACCATAGAAGCCATGTGAAGATAAGCCTTTTGGGATATGTGCACAAAACAGTATTTCAAAGCTAGGCCGTTAGGTAATTGCATCAAAGAGCACTTTCCTATAGCATCACTTAGTAGGAGAACATGCCTAGATCATTCTAGGGTAGTCAGACCTGCCGGACACCAGGACACCAGCCACTTGGAGAAGATACTAGGGGTAGGAGTTGGGCTGGGTTTTCGGGTTTTTCTTTGTTTTGTTTTACAAGCAAAGGCCACTACACCAAGGGATCAAGGTTAAGGGAGGGGGATTATGTTTTATCCCGTTTCTATGACATTGATCTCTATACCAGGGCTCTTGAATGTGAGGCTTAGCCTGAGATCATAGGCCTGGAAAGGGGTCAGGTCAAGCTGCACAGACCTTCGAGCCGATTAACCCAAGAGCTGAACTGTGTAGTCCAAAGGAAGGAGTCCTCACTGCCTGATTATTTTCTTTACACCCTGGAAACTTAGTAAAATTATATACCAAGAAAGAAATCTCCTTATCAGGGCACAAGCCAAGTTAATTCTCTTGTTTGTTCTGCTTCAGTGTTTGCAAAAACCTCTTAAGAAGCTGGGAAACATTTTCTTTTGGACTAATTTAACTTTTTTTCCATTTGACTTTTATTTACTCTTTTCCAACTCTGCTTCAATCCTACCCCACCCTTTCTGCAACATTTTATTTTTACCAAAGACATGTCAAATAAAATGGCCTCTACTAGGTTTTGTGGTTATCATTGTTTTAAATCATCAAAAATCTGTTTTGGTCTACCCAGTACATGGCAAGGGGATACAAGGAAGTGGCATATCAGTTCCTGCCCTCCAGGTCCTCTGGTCTAGTATGGGCAATCACATACATACCCCCTCGTAATCAAAATGCAGTGCAGTAATTTTTTTTTTTTTTTTTTTTTTTGGCCAAGGCTGGGTTTGAACCCACCACCTCCAGCATATGGGGCCGGTGCCCTACCCTTTTGAGCCACAGGAGCCGCCCCAGTGCAGGAATTAAAGAACAAACTAATTCTGAAGTTCTGTCACAAGGCAGTGTTTGATGAATTATATAATGAATGGTTACAACAGTAATTACTTTGAATCCAAAGGAGGCAGAATTGTCAGCAGCAGTCTTCTTTTCAGGAAGAGGTAGAATTTGAGGACCCCCTTAAAATCAGTGGTCCTCAAGCCTGGCTGTACTTTAGACTCATCACAGAGGCATTTGTACCAATGCGCGGGCCCTTCCCTGACCAGTTATATCAAAATCTCTGCCCGTGGGGCAGGGCATCTGTGTTTATTTTATTTGTAAGCTCTCCCAAATGATTCTAGTATACAGACAAGGTTGAGGACCTCTGCCTTAAGTGAAATTTGGTTAGTAAGAAAGATGAGGGGCGGGGTAGGGTCAGCGGCAGCCGAGGAAGAGCAGGGGGGCAGGCCACATCCTCAGAGGGCGGAGGCTAGGTTTTGCCTTGGAATAAGAACAGAGGGTTTGGGCACTTGTTCCTTTGAAAAACCGTTATTTAATCATCTCTGCTAGTTACTGTGCTAACTAGATGCGGGAGTCAGAGATAAGAGATGGATGATGCCCTCTGGTTGTTCATGTTCTACTTGGGGAAGTAGATGAACAGGATGCAGGAGGAGCTGTGAGAGCGCTTACTGCAAGGAAGGTTCTGTAGTGATGAGGGAGAAACTCTCGCGGTAACTGGGGCCCCGTCATGAGGGCTGGAGAAGCTAGAGGGAGGCTGTTATACTTCAAAGAAGGATGAAAACTCTAGGAAACATTCACATTCATATTATTTCTCATCGAATCCTCATGAAGGCTGTTGCTACAGACTATATACGGGGTTATATAAATTTCCAAGTGCCCTAGAAGGAGTAATGAAGTAAATTAGTCCTGACCAAGCCTCACACCCCCTTGATGAGATAAATATTATGACTCTCTTATTTCAACAAATTGGAAAGTGGTGACTATTTCATATAGGAGGTTTATTTAAGTGGACTTTATAATAATATTTTCATCTTCTGTTTAGAAGTCACCCTAAAGTTACAGATGACTTGAGGGGGGAGCCTAAAGTGCCTAGGAAATTGTTGACAGGACCACTAATGTTAGCTAAGCCCATGGCTTTCCTGAAGCCTCAGGTTTTCTTGCATCTTGGAAGTATTTGGTGTTTCCTTTCTGATGCTATGATTCTTCTCTCTTCTGGATGCAGAGAGATAGGAATACCCATTACGCTGCTGGTGGGACTGCAAACTAGTATAACCTCTATGGAGAGTAGTCTGGAGATATCCTGAAGAACTAAAAGTAGACCTGTCATTTAATTCAGCAACCCCACTACTGGGTATTTACCCAAAGGTAAAAACAACATTTCATAAAAAAAGATACCTGCACACAAATGTTTATTCCTTGGGTGAATATGGATTTAGGCCTGACATTCTGTCCCTCTAAAGGCTTATAGAGGACTAAATAGCTAATTGTGAAAAAATTCACAATTGCAAAGACATGGAAACAACCCAAGTGCCCATCAATGAGTGGATTAATAAAATGTGGTATATACTTACCATGGAGTACTACTCAGCCATAAAAAATGGTAAGCTAATACCTTCTGTAACAACCCAGATAGAACTAGAGATCATTCTTCTAACTGAAGTATCACAAG